GATAAATCCCCATAACTTTTGGCAGCGAAAACCAGTGGGGACTGAGTGGGGAAGAAACTTCTAGAGTCCCAGGCAGCTCTGCTTAAAGAACCCATACACGGACTTACTCAGACTTACAGCCTCTGAGCTCCAGCACTGGGGTAGCAGCTTGAAAGGTACCAGGGGCATACAGGGAGGTACTGTAGGGCCTAGCACCAAGGTAAGGCTAGGGGAGTGCTTTCTCCAGGCAGAAATACAGGCAGAGGCCATTGTCCAATTTCTGAATCCTCCCCACTCAGAGCCACAGAACCAGCAAGCTGGTACAATATCTGAGACCCCATCAATCTGTTTGCCCTGCCCTGGAGATCCCCTGAGGCTCCGTGTAGCCCAACTTAGAGCTGTTAACAGTGGCTTTTTCATATGAATGGCTGGTCTTGGCTCATGTTTCACAGCTTCCTAAATCCTGTCAAACAAGCAACAGCTGAGTTGCCCCAGGCACAGCACTAGCAACAGCCAGCCTAGATTCATAGCTTGTCTTTGCCTGGAAATCTGCAAGCCCAGCACAAGCAGCAGCCATCTCAAATTGCTTTATAGCTCAGGCTGCATGGCCCTGGACAAAACAGAGGTGGGGGCTGACCTTGGCCTGCACCACCCAGGAAACCCCAGGGCCTATGCACTCAGTAGATAGCTATGGACCACTTTGGAGCACCACCACCCTGTCCCTGCACAGCTGATACTCCATGGAAGGTGGAGGTTGGTGGTCAATGGTCAAAACCAATCCTTGCAACTGACTGGTCTGGATAAATCCTCCCCATTGATCTGCTGACAGCAGCCAAGACTCAACTACACAAGGAGAGTGTACTTAGACCACACAAAGGGCATGCCTTGAGTACCTAGCTTGGTTGATAGGGGAGGCTGTGCCACTGGACCCTACAGGACATCTAATACCTTAGGCCACACTACCAAGACATAGAGTCATAGCAGCTGTACCTAATACATAGAAACAAACACAAGGAGGCTGTCAAAATGAGGAGACAGAGAAACATGGCCCAAATGAAAGAACAGATGAAAATTCCAGAAAAAGAACAAAACAACATGGAGACAAGCAATCTATCATATGCAGAGTTCAAAACACTGGTTATAAGGATGCTCAAGAAACTTAGTGAGGACATCAACGGCAGAAAAAAGATCCAGTCAGACACGAAGGATACGCTAACGGAAATAAAGAACAATTTATAGGGAAACAACAGTAGAGTGGATGAAGCCAAGAATCAAATCAATGATACAGAACACGAGGAAGCAAAAGACACTAATCAGAATAACAAGAAGAAAAAACATCCTAAAAAACAAGGATGGTGTAAGCAGCTTCTGGTACAAGTTCAAGTGTTCCAACCTTTGCTTCATAGGGGTGACAGAAGGTGAAGAGATAGAGCATGAAATTGAAAAATCTATTAGAAAAAATAATGAAAGAAAACTTCCCAAATTTGGTGCAGGAAGTAGACATGTAAGTCCAGGAGGCATGAGAGTCCCAAACAAGATGCATGCAAAGAGGCCCACTCCAAGACGCATCACAATTAAAATCCCAAAGTTAAAAGATAAAGAGAGAATCTTAAAAGCAGCAAGAGAAAAGCAGTTAGTTACCTACAGGGGAGCTCCAATTAGACTGTCAGCTGATTTCTCAAAGAAACTTTGCAGGCTAGAAGGGTCTGGCAAGAAATATTCAAAGGCATGAAAAGCAGGGACCTATAGCCAAGATTTTTTTTTTTAAAGATTTTATTTATTCATTTTCAGAGAGGGGAAGGGAGGTAGAGAGAGGGAGAGAAACATCAATGTGTGGTTGCCTCTCAAGTGCCCCCCACTGGGGACCTGGCCTGCAGACCAGGCATGTGCCCTGATGGGGAATCCAACTGGTGACCCCTTGATTCACAGGCTGGCGCTCAATCCACTGAGCCACATCAGCCAGGCTGCTAATAGCCAAGATTGCTCTACCCAGCAGAGCTACCATTTAGAACTGAAGGGCAGATAAAGAGCTTGCTGGACTAGAAGTTCATCGTCACAAAACCATTATTTTATGAAATGTAAAGGGACTTAGAACAGAGACAGAATTATGAATACAGAGAGCATTTTGATTGCTGCCAGATGGAAGGAGGGTGCTTGGTAATGAGTGAAGAGGTGAGGGGATTAAGAGGTACAAATAGGTAGTAATAGAATAGCCATGGGAATGTAAAGTAAAGTATAGGAAATGGAATAGCCGAAGAACTTACATGCATGACCCACGGACAAGAACAATGCTGTGGGGATAGCGTGAGGGATTTGGAGTGCTGGGTGGTGGGGCGCAAAAGGGGAAAAATTGGGACAACTGTAATAGCATAATCAATACAATATACTTAAAAATATTTTGTAATTTCTCTTTTGCCTTTAAAAGAATCCATGGTTTATTTAGAAGTGTGTGATTTCATCTGCATATATTTGGGTATGTTTCTAGATAATATCCTATTAACTGATTTCTAGTTTATAACTGTTCACAAAATGTTCTATGAATTCTGATTCTCCTATGTGTTGATATTTGCTTTATGCTTCACATTATGGTGTGTCTTCATGAATGTTCCATGCATACTTGAAAATTATATCTATTTTCTGTCCAGAAAAAGTCCAGCCATTGTTGATATAATGAGAATGGTTTGCACTACATCAATGTAACCTGGCAGCCAAGGAGAGTGGACTGGAATACACATGCGCGAACAATGACAACTTCATTGTACTTGTCAATGGGGGCAGTAGATGCTGTTGACTGAGCATTGTGTGGCCATGATATTTGAAAATGACTGAGCTAGTAGAGCAAAAGATCTGCATCAATGTTTGTGTTAAACTTGAACATTCCTCTGCGGAAACTGTTTGGATGATTGAGATGGCCACTGTGTGGGCAACCAGTGATTGGCAGCTTCATCATGACAATGCACCTCCTCGTGCATCACGTCTTGTGCAGAGTTTTTTAGTGAAACATCAAATCACCCAGGTGACTCAACCCCCCTACAGCCCAGATTTGGCACCCTGCAACTTCTGGCTTTTCCCAGAATTAAAATCATCTCTGAAAGGGAAGAAATTTCAAACCGTTGATGAGATTCAGGAAAATATGACAGGGCAGCTGATGGCAATGGGGAGAATTGTGTGATGACATGGGAGAACTTCCTACTTGAAAGGGACTGACGCATCATTGTCCTATGTACAGTGTTTCTTGTATCTTGTATTTTCTTCAAGAAATGCTTCTATTTTTCATATTACATGGCTGGATACCTTTTGGACAGACCTCATATAACTTGCTGTTGAGTAGAGTGTTCTGAAGATGTCATATAGTTGTGAAGTGTCCAGTCAGTTTAATATATAGAAAAAATATATGTACATATATATGTATTAGGTTAGATCATTTTTTATATATACATATGCTTTGTTGTTAAGTTCATGCACACTTAGTACTGAATGTTCATTTATTGATCCCTCATCATTATACAATGTCCTTTTTCATCCTTCGTGTCATTCTTTGCTTTTACATCTGTTTAGTCTGATACTGATACAGCCATCAGCTTTCTTTGGATTAGTATTTGCATATCTTTTTCTGTGCTTTTACTGTTAACCTACCAATGTCTTTATATTTAAAGTGGATTTTTTTATAGACAGAATGGACTTGGGTCTTGTTTTTTTTTCTTTTTTTTTTTAATCCAATCTGACAATTTCTGTGTTTGCTGTTGTGTTTAGAACATTCTGATTTATAGTGATGGATTAAAATCTACCATTTTGCTAGTTATTTTCTTTTCCTCCTGTTCTTTGTTTCTTTTTCCTGCCTTTGTTTAAATGAGCGTTTTTGAAATGATTTCATTTTAGTATCCGTATTGACTTATTCCTTAGAATTGTTTTAAAAAATTTTTTTTTGCCCTCCCACAGGACTTACGATATAGTATATTCTAAATTAATCTGACACTACCTTCACGTAATAGTCTAGCACTTTCTGTGTACCGTAAGGTCCTTCTAAGAGCATATTTCAGTATCTCCCTCTAGCCTTTGTGCTATTTTCTTATATATTTTGCTCTACATAGTTGTGAACACATGGTTCATTGTTACTGTTTGCTTTGGCCAGGGGTTGCCCAATTTCCTGCAAAAGCAGATGGCGATTATTAACCTGTGAGCTTAAACTACCACTGTGTTCTCCATCTCAATCTCAGTCCTGCCTCTGACACATTGGAAATGCATAGAGTTGTTTAGCTTTTTACGAAGTGCAGCTTATATCTTCTTCAGTGTGAGTGTGTCTTCTATCCAGCGGTGTCTCAGTGGCCATCCAGCAGTCTACATGGAACTGCTTCGAGCTGCCTTTTACTTGCCTTTCCTCTCTTGGTGGCTGTGAGTTTCTCTGCTCTTCACATTCACAGACAGGAGTGCTGTGTTCTCTCCTGTAACATCTCTGTGCAAGCATACCTGTGTAAACGCCTAAGTCTAGAGGCCATGACTGTGTTCTTGTAGGAGTAGGAATTGTTAAAATGAATTCAGAAACTTGTGGTGAGGGTAATCATGACTTAGATGTCAGCACTATCATAACGTTCAAACCCTGTAGCTAGTCCTAGCACTATTGACCAGACCCATCAGGTATCAGGATGTAATGGGAATGCTATGTGCAATCTGGGGTGGTTAGCTGACTGTTTACATGTAACAAGACACATTTTATATGCATGTATGTCTATATATATGTCTATATATATATACACACATATACAAAGTGTATAAGTAGATACAACATATGTAGGTATATATACACATACATGTAACTTCTCCAGGTTGGGTCTTCTAAAATTTCCTGCAAGATTTTGAGAAATGTCAGACCCCTGAGTCCATGTTTTGGTTCCCATCCATTGGTCAGACTCGGCTTTGTCTTCTTCCCAGCTGGACCCCCGCATACCTGAAAAGCACCCACTGGTGTCCACAGATGGTGTGTTCCTGCTCACATTCCTTTTCTCTTTTTCTTTGTCTTCCAGTTGTGGCATTCTTGGTGGCTTTTCATCAGAACAAGCAGCTGATTGGAGACAGAGGACTGCTGCCCTGCAAACTATATCTGAAGAGCGTGCAGCAGCACTTCCAGGGGCAGGTTGGCTGGGACGCGGTGAGCTACGCCCCGACCATCCTCTGGCTGCTGGACTGGTCACACATGGACTCCAACCTGGACGCCCTCGCGCTGCTTGGGTTGGGCATCTCATCTTTCATCCTGGTCACCGGTTGTGCCAATATGATTCTCATGGCTGCGCTCTGGGTCCTTTACATGTCCCTAGTCAATGTGGGACAGATCTGGTAAGTAGGAAGAACGGGGCACATGTGAGCTAGATGTGCTGTAACTCAGCGGCTTGGGGATGTTACACACTGCAGAGCAAACCACAGTCTCCTGGCAGCTGGAGGGATTGAGCGGGCTTTCTCCTTACATTAGTTCAGGAAAATACCATTTTAATGAGGCCGTGGTAGAGAATGCTAATTTCCAGTCAACCAAGATGCAGAGGCCTTTCTTCTTAGGGAACAATCGCGATTCCTTTGGGAGCGGCATGGCTGCCCTGAGACCACATGGCCAACCTCCTGGAACCAGCCAGACCGTGAGATGGAGACGGAAGTCACGGATGTGCTTCTGGTGACAGGGTTGACTTGGAGGATTAAACCTGTTGCTCCTACCCCCTCCTCCTTCCTTGTCAAGGGGGACCTTTACCAGCTAGTACCAAGGGTCACAGACCAGGCTGGCCCTGCTGGGAGGAGTAGGCTCCAGTGCAGGGGTAGTAATGGAACTCCATGGAGGTGAGGTGAATGGGGAGGTCCCTTTGGAATGCACACAGGACACGTGGGTGTGTCAAGGCAGCCTGTGACCTGGGATGAGCCTGCATGAAATCAAGGGCCCCTGAAGTTCTGTGGTATGTTAAACTGGTCAGTGTTCTTCCTACTTTTGGATTCCATAAATAGGGAAGATTACCTAAAAGAGAAAGCACAGAAGACCCTGGAAGATAAGATGAAGCTTCAAAAGAATGCTCTAGAAAAAGAGTGGGTGTTTGTGCAGACATTCAGGAGGTAGATATGCGGGTTGGTGCCTGGATAGCTTGACACAAAGTAGTTGTAGGTTCGGTTCTGTGTAGACATGTAGGAGGTTCAGCACATAGGGAGCTACTGCTGGGATGGTCCCTCCAGGGCCTTTGTGTCCTCAGAGAAAAGCTTTGTCAGTGACTTGACAAATCTGTTCCCTGCTGGCCCAGGTTGGAGATGGTCACTGGGCCCTAGATCATGACAGTGATGCTTCCCAGAGAGTGGTCTTTAACCCAGGAGGTCCAGCTCCTGGGCATGAGGAGCTGACTTTCAGTTCCCCTGCTGATTTATTTTTAAATGGTCCCACAGCTGTGGCATGGGCTGGGATCTGTGTGGCCGTCCCCTCTTAGCTCCGTCATGTGTGCCCTTGTCCCTAGTGCATGCACACACTGCTCTGAGAGGGCATCTGGGTTGGACCTTTCTGTGCCTCTTCGTGTTGTAGGAAGTGCTGGTTTGTGCTGGGCCTGCGTTGGGACTAGTGAATGACACTCAGTACATGTGCACAATGTGCGGCCCCCAAATTCAGCCTATTAAAAGGAGACTTGATGTCTTATCACCCTGAAATCCCCTCCACTCTGCTCCTGTGGGGCCTAGTTTCAACAAGTTACTGTTGACAGCAAATACCATGGCAGCCAGAAGAGACTTGGGGAAACTTCAGCATCTGCACCTACGGCATGAGTTATCTGCACTGGGAAAAGAGACCAAGGGCTGTGCCTCCGGTTATTTGACCGTGGGCGTCCTTATCGCGCTCACACAGGTCACTGAGTGACCAACAACATATTATGGCAGATGCACTGTGTCTTCAATTACACACAGAGACTGTGTTGGTTCGTAGCAAGGGGGTATATTAAATGTGATTTATTGCATTTTCTTTTTGTGAAGAACAAGACAGTGAGGGTGGAAATGAGGGGTGGTGCATGGTTAGGTGTGTCTGGCTGTCTCAGGTGGACCTGGAGCACAAAGTAGCTGTGCGGCAGTGACGCTTCCTTTGCTTTCACCTGCTCCTCCCTGCATGGAATACATCGGTGCCACCACTTAGGGCGTCTGACTGCCGTGGCGGCCAGAGGCGGTTGCTGCCCACCTCCAGCTTCCCGCTCAGTAGTTTACCAGCACAAGAGGCCTCTGTCTGGGTTTTTCTGTGGTGTCCAAGGGGCTGCTGTTTCTCGAGACCTGTGATTTTACTCCATGCCAGAGGAGGGAGAATTCTAGGTGCCTCTGTCCCGTTGTAACAGTGGGAGTCACAGAGAGTGAGAGAGCCCCGCCGCAGCGCCGTGCCCGGAGATGACGCTCCCCGTCTGCAACAGGAGGCTCGGGTCGTGCCTTGCTGCACCTGGCAGCCAAACCAGATCAACTTTAAGTTTTACTTTAAAAAGTGTTTCTGAATCATGTCTAGAATATACTATCAGGTATGATTAACCCCATATTTAAATTTCTAAAACCAGCCTGACTACATGTGGCTAAAAATAGAGGCTTAAATTTTTTTATTGGGAAAGGTATTTTGCTCCCCTCCCCATGGGTACGTTTAAAAATGTGATGTGAATTAATGTAAGCTTAATAAAGCAAAATAAAGCTGTATTTTCTAGGAAATGACACCTGGGATGTTTTGATGAAAAATGTCAAAGAAGAAAACATCTGTCTATCAAGACCAGTGTTTTATTTACCATGTCCCTGATGTCAGATGTCCGTGGTCACAGCCGATTGTGTGCCTCGCTTGGCACTGGCTCGGGGGCTGTGGGACGGGGCTCCATGAGCACCGAGGTGGGTGGTTAGCATGATTCAGGCGCCCTCAACCCTGACAGTATCTCAGGTCAGCTCTTGACTCATGTTTCCTTGGCGGATGATAGTTTTTGGGTTGTCGGAGTGACATTGAAGGCTTACTGAGAGAGCGAGGGCCACTTAAATGGAAAATGGGCTTTCTTTTTCTTGATATCCTGAAATGAAAGTTAGACACAATCTGTTCTTTTCATCTCCCCTTTATTTTAAGTTGAGAGGAAAGAATATTTGTTTGGGATAAGATGCTCAGATAATGGACGCTGTTGATGGAACGTCTTTCAAGTGTTGTCCAGCTGGCGTCCTGTGGCAGGGACAGGAAGCCCCTGTGGGGCGAGGAGGCGCCAGGCAGGTGCACATGGTGTTTCGCCGGCACTCAGCCCGGCATGTGGTTGCCCAGCTTTGCTGAGTGCGTGCTATGACCGCTGCTTCATTTAGAGTCTCTTTCTCTCCCTTCTCTTAAATGGGTGTCCTCTCAGCTTCTCTCTGACCCAAACCAGTGTCCATGACGACTTCACAGTGTCAAAATAAATGTTTCAATACGCATGGGGATCTTGAACTGCTGTCGCAAGAGACAGGTAAAATCTCAAGCTTGGCCCAGACCAGCGTGGCTCAGTTAGTTGGGCGTTGTCCTACAAACTGGAAAGGTCACCAGTTCAACTCCCAGTCAGGGCACATGCCTGGGTTGTGGGTTTGGTCCCTGGTCAGGGCGTCTACAAGAGACAACTGATTGATGTTTCTCTCTCACATCAATGTTTCTCTCCCTCTTTTTCCCTCCTTTCCACTCTCTCAAAAAATAGGTAAAATTGTAACAACAAAGCAAACTTTGTACTTAGTGATGCTTTGAGTTTCCGAGGCGAGTGTCAGGTAGCCTTGCATGACATCCTGCACATTCTGGAAGCATGACTGCCCTGCCCTCTCTCCGCTCCCCTGTCTGGATCCTGACACTTGGCGAGGCAAATGGGAACCTGATGAACCCAGGTTCGTGGTGGCAGTGGTTGAAGGGCTTCATTTTGGGGAGGGTGGCTTCAATCATGCAGTCCGTGCTTCGCAGAGAAATGACCCACATCCTTGGATGCAGGCGACCCCACATCCGCAGAACCCTGTAGGGCCCAGGTTCAAGTAGATGAACTTAGGAAATAGGCCTGGGTGGGTCAGAGCTTGGGGATGGGCAAGAGATGTTTTTGGGTAGAAGGGAAAAGGAGGAGAAAATTCACTTCTTTCGTGGCATTTTCTTATGCTCTGAGTATTTTCTTGTTTGATTGATTGAGATGTTCTCTGCCTTCTGAGGATGGGCTGTGGTAGACAGCTGGACTGGCCTTTCTGACACTGGTCCTTTCTCCTGGACGTGATGGGACTCAGGACTATATGTTACAAGACAGGAAATAGGAGAGTGGCCCAGTGCCAGGTGGCCAGACATTCCTTTATGTTGGCTACTGCACGCGGGCAGTTAGAATGCGACCAGGCTGCAGGCGCCATGGTAGGGGTACAGGGCGAGCCCGTGTGGGGCTCAGGATTTCCGAGGACACAGTACAGTGGTACCAGGCAGCTTTGGGGGCCCCAGCTTCACAGGAGCCCACCCTCTCTCATTATCAGTCATGTGTGACGGGAATGGGTTTTGATTGATAATGCCCAAGTACAGGAGTGAGAACAGGTATTCAGGTTGTCTTGAGGGAAATAGTGGGGGGCAGTTAAATGACTACTCTTGATTCCTTTCTATTTTTTTTAATGTAGCAGCCCTTGTGAGGAGAAAGCACAGAATGACGTCTGTTGGGATGAGTGACAGGAGGCAACCTGCGATTAGATCAGGCAGTATGGTGCCTCAGGTTGGGCAGCAGGCAGCCCACTGCTGTGGAACTGTATCCCCTTCTTCTCAGATGGGGTTGGGAGGAGGTGAGGAAGCCTTTGAGAACTTGGGTTGGGCTTATCCTGTTCTTACTGAGAACTTGATTTGTCTGACCAGATGTTGCATCCAGCAGGAGGGGGCATGTGCACCTCTGACCTGGGTGGCCAGTCCTCCCTCAGACCCCAGCCTGCGCTCTGTTTTGTGCACTAGTGAGGAATGGGCAAGGTCAGAGGCTACTCTCCTGGCAGGTACAGATTCTGGCGCTGCCTACCTATCTTGACTGCTTTTTAATTTAATAAACGTCGCTTTTTAGAACAGCTTTAGATTTACACAATTATTGCAGAAATAGTTCACACTTCCTGTGCATCCCGCTGCAACTTCCCCTGTTGTTATCCTCTTACAATGGATGGGATATTCGTCACACCTGATGAACGAGTGTCAACACATTGTTATTTATTTACAGTTCCTTAGTCCCTCCCTAATGCCCTCGTTCTGTCTCAGGATCTGTCCAAGACTGCATGATGTTTGGTCGTCCTATCCCCTTACGCTCCTCTGGGTCTTGTTTTTGATCCCTCGACAGCTTTGAGGAGGACTTGTCAGATGTTCTGTTGAGTGTCCCTCTGTTGGGATGTGTCTGATGTTTTCTCATCATTGACTGGGTTGTGGGTTTGGGGAGAAGACCACAGAGGTACACTGCCTCTGTGTATTCGTCAGATCGAGTCTGTGCCTTTGACACAACTCACCTCCGTGGTACTAACCCTGGTGTTCAGCCGGGCCATGTCTCTTGTGTGTCTCCACTGTGAACCTCCTTCTTTCCTCCCAAGTCTACACTGTGTGTTCTCCTTGGAGGTGTCGTTAGCACAGTCCACACGTCCCCCCACAGACAAAGACGGCCTTCCTCCGTGAAGCAGCCTTGTCTTTTAACAGTTTGAGTTTGAGTTTTCTCAAACTCAAACTTAAGGGTGGGGCGCCTGCACAGTTATGTGGGTTCTTCTACACAGAGGCCTGTTTCTTGCCCCCATGTTATTTATTCAATCATTGATCAGCATGGATTCCTGCATATATCTGTTTTGGTACCTTGGGTATCTGTTCTATGTCCCTAAGAGTTTAAACATCTTGGGGATCAGTAGCTTTTCAGAGAAAGAGGCAGAGTGGTTAACTATTATTGCATAGAATTTAGATGATCTTAAAGAAGATCCTAACCACCATTAGCACTGTCCTGTCTAAAACAGTGGAACCTTGTTAGAAATCCTAAGTGATGTCTACCCCGGTTTCTCCAGTTAGTTAAGCACCAGCTTTTCCAAAATTCTGGATTTGTGATCCTTTTGTCTGTGCTTTACTTTGGCAATAATCCTAAAGGGCTTCTTTGTTGCTATTAAGGATGGCTGTATAACCATCCTTCTCTCTTCCCCACCTTCCTGGCCCCCCCAAAAAGAAGAAAGAATTATCTCTTGAAACTTGGACTGAGGTTGGGCAGCTCAGGGGGTCCCTTCCTGTGGAGGAAGCCTCCTCTGGCACGTCTCTCCGACACAGGGACGGTATCAACTTCAAAGAGCACCGAGAACAGATGCCAGCAGGCCCAGGAGATGTGGAGGGGACCAGGGTCAGGGCTCTGCTCTTACTCTTGAGGATGAAAACCTGATTTTAGCTCCAGGCCTTAAATACAGTGCTGTTTCATGGCTGCCCCCGTCCTGGTTTGCAGCTCATCAATTTCACCAGGTATAGATACATTCGATGCATAAAAAGGAATCCTTCCTTTGGATTTATGAGGTTCTAGGAAGCAGAATAGTGCCATTTCCTCCCTGGCCACTGTGGCTCAGCTGGTTGGGCATTGTCCAAAAAACCAAAAGATCACTGGTTCGATTCCCAGTTAGGGCACATGCCTGGGTTGCAGGTTCAGCCCTCAGTCAGGGCATGTACAAAAGGCAACCAATCAATGTTTCTCTCTCACATTGATGTTTCTGTCCCACTCTTTCTCCCTCCCCTCCCTTCCCTTCTCTCTTTAAAAAAAAAAAAAAAAAAAAAGTCATGCCATTTCCTTTCTGTGGTAAAAAGGTCAAGTACTGAGTGCCTGGGCAGAGGCCCAGGCAAAGGCGGCAAGGGCGGATAGCATGCTGCAGGCCCTTCCATTCTTGTCAGACAATTGTGTCACAAAGGTCCAGCCATCCCAGAGCCTCCTCAGCTCCACAGTTTTCTCAAACTTATAAACATCCCTTCTCACACACAGAGAGGGCCCTTCTTCACTCTTGCGTATCAGCATTGAGACAGGGCCTTGCCAGTGCCGCGACGGGCCCCACGCCCCACGGTTCTGCGATGAGCGGTTCCAGCAGAGGGAGGGGATGGGTCAGGGTGGACACTCACAGACTGCTTGGGTATATACCAAGGGCTGCTGTTCTGGTTCCTGTGACATTTTCATCCCGAGCTGCTTCTGTTTGGCCATCACCATGTGACAGGGACTTCATTGTGGATGACATGATTAGCCACAGACTTGCATCAAGAATGGAGGGTGGCTTAGAAGAGCAGGCTTTATTATACTAACTCCTGTCTACCTGCTTCCTGAGTGAGCCTTCAGGGAGCTCTGTGCCGGGCAAGAAAGTGGGGAGAATTCTTACAAATTCACAGCTTGCCTCTCCACAGGCGGGGGAGCATAATTTAACAAATATTTATCCAGGAAGCCTTTTTACAAAACAAAAAGTTCTGGAAGCCTGATGTACTTTTTTAATCAGAGGCCTTCTGTAAAAATAGGAGCCTCATACAGAAGTCACTGGGGTGGAATGAGGCCCAAGGGGCCGTGGACAAGACTGCTTTGTGTGGTGGGCAAGTGTTGCAGTGGATGTAGGGCCTTTGCAAGACACCTCCCCTTCCTGGTTCTCTCACTTCCTTTGCACAAAGACGAAGACGGCCTTCCTCTGTGAAGCAGCCTTGTCTTTAACAGGCAGGCAGAGGTACTGTGCTGACACATGGCGTTTGGGAGCAAGAACTAGGTCTCTTGGAAAATGAAAGGGCTTGAGTTTCTTTAAAGAACAAAATAGTAGAACATCCCCAAAATAACTCCATAGACAGCCATCTCTTCTAAAATAAGTTCTAGCTGTTAAAAATATATAATAAAAACTGTAAAAGTAGTGATGACTTTTTAGTTTTTTAAGTAATTAGATATAAATACTTGTATTTAAAAATCTTATATCAGGGAGCCTTGAAACTCAAAATTCAAAACAGGTAAAGTTATGAGAGACATTTTTAAATACCCTCAGTAAGTGTGACAGCAGTTAACACTGCAGGCCTGTCCGTGGTTCCCAGAGGGCACTGTATTCTGGTGGTCCAGGCTGCGGGCAGGAGCCATGCAAGGCCAGCTCTGACCTCACAGCCTTCTGTCTCTTCCAGTCAGATCTGATAAAAATATAAAGCATTCATTCTTTATAAGTTTGTGACAATCAGCCCCTTTCCCCTTCTCCATCAACAAGGGGATTTACTGGGAGAATTTGTTGGGTAAACTTGTTTCTTGAATTAGCCAGTGTGTATACTGGCTGTTTTAAAAGTTTTGAACTATGGAAACTTAGGAACCTGTTCAAAAGTAGACAGTAGCCCTGGCTGGTGTGGCTTAGTGGGTTGAACGCCAGCCTGAGGACCAAAAAGTCACTGGTTCGGTTCTGGGTCAGGGCACATGCCTGAGTTGCGGGCCAGGTCCCCAGCTGGGGTCGTGTGAAAGGCAACTGATGTGTCTCACACATCGATGTTTCTCTCCCTCTCTTTCTCTCTCCCTTCCTGCCTCTCTAAAAAAAATAAATACAATCTTAAAAGAAAAAAAGTAGAGAATGTAATGCAAAAAACCCTCATGCATGCACATGTGTCCCCTCTTCTCCCAAATTGTCTTTTCTGAAGTAAAGAGCAAATCCCACATTGTGTTGTTTAACCTGTAAGAAGTATGCATCTCTGAGGGGTCAGGATTGTTAAAAATACCATCACTGCCAGGCTGCCCACACCTCCAGTTCTGAGAGAACAGCCACCTGACAGTTCTTCCTCAGCATCTGCATTGCTTCAGTGTCCTTCATTGTATTACTCTTGCCTATAACGTCTGCATCTGAACTTTCCACAGTGAAAAATCACATGCACCCTCAAAATGGGCAGTGTAGGGATCCCTGGGACCTGCACCCGCTCTCCGAGTGCCCAAGACCGACTCCTTTCATCCTCCGGAGGTCCTGCCCTCTCTTCACTGAGGGGCTCTGTGCAAATATCAGGCCTGGATTTTTTCATTCATACATGTTTCATTAAACAACTACTTCTTAAAACATCTTTGTTAAGGTATAATTTGCATACCATAAAATCTAACCATTTAAAGTGTACAAGTCAGTGGCTTTATATAATTACAGAGTTCTGCAATCATTACTAAGTACAAAAAACTTTTATCACCCCCAAAAGAAACCCATACACCCCCATTCTCCTCACACACCCTTATTCCCCTCCCAGTCCCCAGCACCCACGGATCTATTTCCTGTCTCTCTAGATTCACCCGTTTTGGATGTTTCACATAAATGGAGTCACACACTATGTGGCTTTTCGTGTCTGGTTTATCTCACACAGCATGATGCTTGTAGAGTTCATTCACCTTGTAGCATGTGTCAGCTCCCCAGTAGATGTGGTCTTTTTATCCCTGAGTCCAAGTGGTGGGTTTTGTTTTTAACTCGGCCTAGGTGCCAGAGCTCCACAGGTGTGAGGGGTATTTGTTTCAAGGCCACATGTAACCCACACCTCAGTTTTGTCCCATGATATTGTAGGGATTTACAGTCTCTGACTTGGGCTGATGTATCTCCCCTCTCCAGGGGTGCAAACTGAGCCTGCACCACGGAAGTCCCAGGCCAGTGTGAGGACTCAAAGTTCTACTCAGATTCCATGTGAAGACAGACCTCAAATCCTTAGAGAGGAGACAGACCCCCCCCATCCCCACCCCGCAAAGTCCTTTAGTTTAGGTCCCTTTTCTAATAATATATGCTCAGCGTAACGGGGCATCCTTTAAATTTTCAAATCCTAGGGCATGACATTTTTATGGTGTTTGATTGAAATTATTACTGCAGGAAAACCAAGTATTACATTTACTTTTTCCCAAAATATTTTTTGATTGGCCTGTTGTAGGCATCGTTCTATACTGGCCATGTCAGGTGGGGCAGGGGGTGAAAAGACTCTAATCCCCCAGGGCAGCCTGGTGGGCCTCAGGGCCCCAGCCCCCCACTCAGAGCACCCAAGGACAGGTCTCCCCTGTACCTTCACCTCCTGCTGCATTTAATCCCCAGAGGGTCTGACCCCGCACTGTCCTGGAGGTACAGACATAGGCTCTACTTCATGCAGTAACACAATGCTTTAATCTTATAAGATTTTTGGCAAAGAATGCCACATTTTAATACTTTTTTCTCCTTTTGTTTTTCAGGTATTCATTTGGTAAGTGAAAATCATTTAGAAAAAAACTCTGCAAGAGTTAGCATTTTGTGTTGGGGTATGTATCCTTGTGCCTTTTTTTTTTTTTTTTTTTTACCTTTCTCATTACTTGAGCATCTGTCATCAACCTGCAGGTTTTACCATGTTGTTTTGATACCACGTTTGTTTAACCTGGACTCCTACCTGCAGCTAGCCTCCTTGCCCAGAGTGGTGGACTAATACAGACGAGGGAACTCATGCATTTTCAGGTTCATTGTGTGGAGAACCAGTTTCTATGATACTGGTAGACCAGTCCCACAGCAGTGACAGCAAGCAATGATGGTTCCATCGCATGTTGTGAATCCATCCCCTAACCCTGGGTGAACGAAAAGCCTGCGCCATGTGCGCTTCTCTCTCCAGGCCACACTGAGTTCCCAGTGGACACGAGCCCGTAGACAACACACACAGAGGAGGGTTTACCTGGTGCTGTCCCTGACTGGGAGGGGGCGGCAGAAGTAGTTGGATTTCTGCCTGGTTTGGTAGGAGGAAGATTCAGGATCCCAGCCTGTGCTCTGAGGAAAACGCTGCACCCAGAGTGAGCGTGCAGAGTAGGGTTTTTTCCATAGATGAATGGGTAGTGGGACAGTGGCCGCTGGCTGAGAGTGAGCAGAGAGCAGCCCCCAAGTGAACAAGAGTAGACAGGACCAGGCATGGCACAGGTTACATTTGGGTCTCGCCAGCTTACATGCTGTTACAGCAAAGATATCAGTGCTCTCCATGGGGTGTAACAGAACCCAGATGCCCCTCAGCTCAACGTCCTCATGCTCAGGACGCACAAGAAACAAAGGACCAGGAGATCAGGCTCATTCTGGACGGAACAGACAATGACAGAGGCCAACCCCAAGGTGATTAGATGCTGGGATTTTGAGACAGGGTCTAAGCAGCTGGCAAGACTATGCGTACCACAGTGAGGGAAAACAGGCTTCTGATGAATGGAAAAATAATGAGATCCCAGCAGAAAAATCAAAGATATAAAAAAGAAGTGGAAATTTCAGAACTGAAAAATACAATATCTGAAATGAGAAATTCACTGGATGGACTGGATAGCAGGGCGGATGTAGCTGGAGAATGAAAGATCAGCAGACATCACCCAGGCTGAGACTGGAGCCCCAGGAGGAGGGGGAAAGAACGGCTGAAAAGTTTCCAAATGTGGTGAGACAGAGAAATGTACAGATTCAGGAAGCCTGGTGGGCCCCAAAAGACATAAATAAAACTGCCTGCTCAAATCATCTGAAATCAATACTGAAAACTAAAGGGGAAGGGAGAATCTCGAAAGCAGCCAGAGAAGCTTAACACGGCCCTTGAAATGGTTGGACCCTGGCACTCAGGAACAGTAGTGCTGAGAGATGGAAACTGTCCCCCAGGATCCTGCACCCAGACAGCACTTTCCAGGGCCAGAGGTGAAATAGGGAGAAGTGAGAGAATCTCTTACTGGCAGAAGCCCGCCAGGCACGCTGCGGGCAGCTCTCTAGGCTGAAGGAAAGTGAGTAGAGGTGAGAACATGGGTCCCTGGGCAGGAACGTGGGACACGAAAAGCAGTAGATACACAGGTAACTGTGAAGAGGGCTTTGTTTCAGTTACTTCCTTCGAAATACATACAAATAACTCTTTAAAGCAAAATGCATTCTTTATCTCCTGAGGTTGGTCATGCACTGAGAGGGGACACGTGACAAGCATGACATGGAGCACAGGAAGGCTGCCATGTCCACATTTTATGTGAAGCGACACAATATTAACTTCAAGTGGGATTTAAAAAGCTAAGGACGGGTATGAGAGTCCCTGGCGCACGCACTGGGAAGATCTAGAGCGGCGGTTAAAACGCCGACAGACACATTAACGGGGGGCTCTGGAGACATTTGAATGACCCAGATAAGGCAGGAAAGGAAGAATACAGGAATAGGAACCAAGGGTTCAACAGGAAATAAAAAAATTAAGTGGTGACTGTAAATACCGTATCAGTAATTACATTAAGTGATAACGGACTAAACACTCCAGTTAAAGACAGAAATCAACAGAACAAATTAAGAGAATAAAAAGTAAGATGTAGTTATATTCTTCTATAGGTAATGCACATTGAATATAAAAACACAAAGTTCGAAAGAAGATGGACGGGAAAGACATTGGAGACAGTAGTCCGAAGGCTAGTCCAGGACCGAGCATCACTGGAGGAAGAGGTTGTGTCATCAGTCAGGCAGGAAGACCTAACAGACCTCAGAGTACGTGAAATACAAGTGACAACTAAAGGGAGACAGAGAAGGAATTTCAACACCCCCTTCCCTTGGTTGACAGAACAACTGGATAGAAAATTGGTAAAGGGATGGACCCTGTGCCCAGCACCTGGCTCTGATAGGTGTTTCTGAGAACACGTACTCTGCTCACATGCCCATGGTTCATCTGCCGGGAACACCAGCCCTAGGCCAGGCTGTACGCAAGGATTAAATTGAAAAGGGACTAAATCATGTAGAGGTTCTGTTTCTGTGAGAAACTGTCTTTCCCATCTTAACTGTGAGCTGGATGTTCTGCAAAAGCCACAATTTTTCTGGACTCTCTCAGCGCACCGAACTTGTACAGCAGCTAAGGAATCAGAATTCCCATGCCCCCGACTGAGGAGAGATGGATCTGTGAAGAGGCTTCACCTTCAGCGCAGTGAAAGAAGGAAAGGGTAAGGAAGACAATTGTCCCCAGACAGAGCTCTTGCTTACTCAGGGCTGTGGTGTGCAGGCCTCCGTGAGGGGTGTGAGAAAGATTGGGGCAGGTGGGGAGACCACCTAGGGCTTCCTTGGTGGCGCAGTGCAGGAGTGACCAGCCACCCGCCTGCCCCCTGGACGGTCCTCTTACAGGAAGCAGAAGCCTCAAACCACTCGGGAGGAGAATCATGCCTACGCACCGCATTGTACTGAGGTCCTTGGGAGAAGGGGGTCTGTGAGAGGGGCCCCACATCATGTATGATACAGAGCGGGCTCTGCTACTGCTGGAGGCTGTTGGTGAGTGGAGCAGAGGGAGAATTGAGAGAAATTCTGAGAAGGCCCCAGCCTGAGACAGCAAGTGAGACTGGACCAGGAGCTGGCGGTCCCTTCTCTTATCATTGCCCATCGCCCAAGGACAGGCAGCAGTTTGGGAGAGGCCGATCAGGCTGGCGGATCAGAAGCTGCTGGAAGTGAGAAACTCCAGGCCCCTTGCTGAGCACTGCAGGTGAGCGAAGCCCCTCCCTAGGAAGTTGCAGCCTGTGGTCACTGAGGGTAATGAGGAAACAACAAACCCAAACCCTGCTCATTTTCTGGCCAGATTGTCCTGTCCCCACACCCACCCTCAACTAACAGCCTCACTGCATGTGCTCACTTCTGGGTAATTATATTTAATTCAGGAGCTACTGTTTTGCTACAAACAATATTTGACATACTAAAAAAAAAAAAAAAAAATCACTAGATGAACACACACCCGGAAAAAAAAAAAAAGACTTGCTGACAGTGGATTGCCCAGAGATGTAGCAATCAGTAGAGATGATCCAGATGCTGGGCTAATTAACGCAAGTCTGCCCTCCATTTATGCTTCTGTTGTATATCTGGTGCTCTTTACCAGTTTAACTGCCCATCTGGTCTCAGGCGATAATGTTGGAGACTGAGAACCCAGCTACTGACTTGCTACTGCATTTCCTGCTGAGGGCTCCTGAGTAGGACTGAATTTCATATGCCGTCTTCTGTGTGGCACTTGATGGGCCACCCCCACTAAAAGTCCATGAGCACAAGTTGAGGAGACCTCTAATAGTCACAGCAGCTGGCTTGCCACTGGGTGACCACCAAGCATCTCTGCTCTGTTTCCTTTTCAGTTACTGAGTTGTCAGGGCGAGAACAGCCAGTCCGAAGGGACTTTTGACCTTTCGTGAGTTTTCCCATTGGCCTCATTTAGGGGTTGCCTATGAGAACTTAGTTTTCATAATGAGCAGATCGTCCTCTCCTGTTTGTACTTGTATCTCTATGTTCTTATCAATGAACATGGATGTAGATCTAATGGACATAGATATATTAATAAATATAGAATTTAATTTATATCTGTTGTCTTTATTTTGCAAATGGATGAAGATAAAGCAACTCTGGCTTACAGGCTGAGATACTAAGCTGCACCACAGAACAGCATTTGCAAAAAATGCAGTGCCACTGGGCAGCTGACTGACTTGAATTGAGAAAGGCTACTCAAGCTACTGTTTTATATGGTTGCCTCCAGCCGCATATACTTTTTGGCTCAATTAAAATAAAGTGAAATAAAGCTGGTGGCTCCCCAGCCACACCTGTGGCACATTGGTTGCTCAGTAGACACACTGGGCCAAGTGGATCACAGACCTTCTCAAATACTATAGGAAGTTCTGTGGGCGGTTGGTCAGAGGATGCCCTCTGTTTCACCAACATACTCTTCTGGGGAGCTCAGTTACCTCTCTCTTCTGACCACTTATGATGTGGCAGGTATAAGTATAACCCCATCGGCTTGGGACTAGGGACATTGGCTGGTCTCCCTGAAGGAGGCACAGCCAAGGCCTCTCTGGTCATCTTTCCTTTGTTCAGTGAGCAGATGTTTCCCAGGATTTCTGAGTTTCTATGAATATTTCTCCATGATCTTGAAGTCCCCTCTACAATGTGGATGTCACCTGCTGCCATCCTACAGCCCTGTCCCCGGGGGGTTTGCATTCCCTTTGCACGGATGTGACTGCTGGGTAAGGGGACGACATGGGAACGGAGGCCGTTTGCTCCAGGACACAGGAAAACCACAGCATTTGTGATAACACCACCTCACCAGCTGCATCTCTGCTGAAGCATTAAGTGAGGCTATGCTTTGAAATCTGCCAGTCTGGTAACTCTTACTTCAAAGAACGGGTCTAAAACATGATTAATTCAGTGCCCTTCTATATGCTGTTTCCAGCTCCTCTGCAGGAAGTGAGTTTTGGGCTGGAGACTTTTTTGAACTTCACATTG